ATGGAGTGACATTAATTCCGACAAAAAAAACAATTGACTGTTATTTTTTGTCGTCTGTCCAATAATGTACACATATTCGACAAAATATTTACAGTAACAACCAATAACGAGGTGATTAACGTAAGCATTGGTATAATTGTATATAATATCGTATTAAATTGATAAGTTACCTATAATTAAAGAAGATAAATATATTAATAAATAGAGTATATATTAAACATTTAAAAAGTTTTAAAATCATACTTGAATAGCAAGATGCGGAATATCTTCAATAAGTATATTAACTATAACTCCATAAACAATCCATTTTTTGGTTTTATCAGACATGTTTGCAAAAAAACAATCGAATCCAGCAAAATTTGAGTCTAAGATATTTAATAATTCAATATCAACACTAGCAATTATTGTAAAAATCGATGCAGCCTTGAAATTACTAGAAAACCAATTTTGGAAATTTTCATTAATCAAAATTTCTTTGGCAATCAAGAAAACCGATAAAATAAAATTAACTGATCTTGGTGCTATTAAAATAATCAAGCTATGTTATTGATAAATTGTTAGTGAATAAAATAAGAAAAAAACAAATATTGTAAATATTATATAAAATCTAATGTACCTGGGAATAAATAGAAATGGAACATCGTGCCCATTATTGATTACGAAAAAGATGTCAAGAACAAAATCCAAATTTATTAATGCTAATTTAACTATAATAAAGTTTTGGCCCTGTGTAGTCATAATATAAATTAAAAACATAATATAAATTAAAAAAAATAAATAACAATGATTCTTGCCTTTGGGTTACGTCTTCGGGCTAAACTATATATCACAATTATTACAAATGCAAAGATTGATATAGCAAGTAACCTAATTCTAAATTCAACCCATAAATTTGCTAAAATAATACATGTAGGTAGATAAAATATGGTAGATAAAATATAAGAGTTAGATATTAAAAAAAAAAAAGGATCAATATTAATATCAAATAGCATACGTTTGACTTGGAACCCATACTGTTCATCAAGAAACATCATAAATTTTTTATCAGAAAAAGCACCAATATATTTGTTCTTTATTATGAAATCCAAATCGTTAATAATATCATTTACACTAGGATCATTTAAAGGATTAATTGCCTTATCAATAGAAAATTCGATTAAAAGTTTGGAGGAATCCGAGGGATCTGACTGAACATTATGAGTTATTTTCAATCGATTATTCAATAAAGGAATGCTACTTTTTATTTGCTGTAGCAAACCATCAAGCAATTGTGACTGATTAGAGTTTGAAAAATAGGAAGCACCATCATCGTTTAAACGTAATAACGCCTCCGTCGATTCTGTAAAACAAATCCAAATATAATAAATATAATAAATGTATTCAGAAAATATATTGCGATAAAAAATTTAGATAAAATTCCAGATACCAGAAGTCTTAAAATTCTCCTGGCCTAATAACCGTGATTTAATTAGCATAAAAATTTAACGTTAATTTTTTCCGATTTAATATGTTAGTATACAATACTCACGTAGCGTTGTCACATTCCAAATACCTTCTTTAATTCCACTTATAGGGTCATTATATTTTGACGTTCTCACAAAATCGTCATTAGCAATAATGATATAGTTGCTATTAATTCGATTAAATGTGCTTGATAAAGTTTTACATGATAAAGTTGTGTCATTATACACATTACAATACGAAGAAGCAGAGTATGATTGACGTAATAAGAAAGTATCCTCATCGATGACTTGATATAGAGATATTGCCGGAAGATACAATAATAGGAAATGAAAAAGAAATGTTGATAAGATCATTAAATGATAAAGGTATCATCATATTTAATGTTGGATATGAAGATATGATTGCGGCGTTGTTATAACCGACTAAAAAAAAAATAATAATAAATAAAGATATTAATAAATGTCATGGCTGATGCTGATGTTGATTTTTGGGGTCTTAATTTGGATTCACTATACCTACCAAATTCCACTTATACTCTTTTAGTAACAACTCTATCTCTAAAATTGACCCTAAAAAAAGGCTAAAAAAAATGCACCCAAAAATTATAAAAATTTGTATTAAAATAGGTCCCCAAATTAGCATCAGCATCAGCCGTGACAATAAATGATTATATTAAAAATAATAAAGGCTAGAAATTAAAATATTTACAGTCTTTATAAACCTTATTAACATCGATTGTAATTAACTTTTCATCATCATCACGATCAACTTGCATAAACCATACAGTATTATTGCTAAAAACACCATAGTAACCCTGCTTAGAATTCGATGTAGTATACAATATATCACCATTGACCATAGTATCTAAATCAAAAGTTTGCACTTGGAGATTATCGGAGTTATTAAAAAGATTAGTTGTATACTTTGCTAAATTCTTACATTTTTGCGAAAGCAACAAAATATTCTATATCTAGTAAAAATTATTAATAATA